TCAAAATCGATAAAACTGTAGACGTTAAAAACAATAGTAATTGCTTAATTGCGGTACATGGATCTATATTAGGGTTTTGTATTTAACTGTGTCGGTGAACTTCCGGAATGTCTACAGATATTGACTTGTGTTACAGTAAACATATGCTTGTCTCAATTTTGGTTTTCGAAGTACCCATCGAAACAAGCAACAATCTTGTCAAACCTTTCAAGTTCAATATTAGATGCTTCTAAAACCTTTACTGTGTACACACTGCAGTTTGTTCGATATCCATTAGCTTGATCCTAATATCAAGATTTCCGTTTAAGATGTAGAATGCTGACAGAAAATCATACAAATGTATTGGGGTGAACAAAATCTATATTGGATTTGGTTGGGTTCATTCAAAAGTAGTTTATATCCATGTGAGATGTCAACTTACAAGTAGATATTTTCATCGATCTTTAGCGTCTCTGGTGTCGGTGTTCTTGTCAAACATGTCCCTATTTCATATCCTTCTTTCAGAAACATGGCATAACGTACTTGAATTGACATAGATTTTCGTAGCGAATGTCGTCAATGAAGCAGGAGACGCTTACATTTCCAGAACACCTGGTCCTTTTCTCATTCTACTTTTTTCGGGAGATAAAATATCTCGATATCTGCTTATGTTTACACTTTGGTCTTGTTTAACAATTTCGACTTTTTGCTGCATTTTTTCTGCTCTTTTTGCTTGGATCTATCGCCATGTGAATTGTAACTAGAAAAATTGTACACCTATGTTACGGTGATCCGAACACTACAAAAACCACACATGTGAATAGCGATGATACCACCTTATAACTAGATACAGCAGAGCGGTATACTCCTAGCACATTCCAATGGTCGAAATAAGAGTTGAAGCAAATCTTGTAATTTTCTTTATCAAATGATTTTAAATGAATGTCAAAAACGTGTATCGTATGAACGTTGTCGCTATCGTATAAATTACAACGTGACGAATTGTAACAAGTTACGGCAAACCCTAGGGTCAAAAAGTCAATCAGGAGTGTCTACTACCTGTATTCTCGATGTAACACAGAATATCACAGTGACTTCATATGATCACCTAAGTGTTGGTAATGGGACATTAAGCACACAGTAAGCGTTCCCTACATTCCGGGAGTTCTTCCGAATACCTTGTAGAATGTGCATATATTGTAAGAATGAAGGTAATATGTTGTAGTAACACGCCGTCTACACTGTTATTAAAAGTACTTCAATTAATACAAAACTTTGTGTCCTCTTTCCTATTTATCCGAAATTAATGGTACATATCCGGTTCAATAACAAATATCGATCTGTCATAATAATTAATTCATACCTGGTCTTTTTAATTTAGTATAACATTGATGACAAGAGATCCTGGCAGGCATATCAGATGAAATGCCGAACAACATCTCTTATAACAACACAATCAAACATTACATATATACCACGTACATGCTGTTTTCCTCAAGAATGAATAGTATACTTCTATATATAACACACAGACAGTATCCCTATAGAGCGGTCGTATCTCTATATCAACGTTTTAGATTAATTAGTTTCCGTTGCCATAGAAATACCACATAACTATATACATAGAGAAATTTATTGAATTTGGGTAAAACTCATATGTAATGCGAATGAGGTGGTGATTTGATAATGCTTAATAACTTCCTTTTTTTTGTCTGAATTTGATTAGTTCACTTAAATAGCATTTTATTTAGCTCGCTCCTTCAATTTTTACTCGCCGAGATACCGTTTTCACAAACTTATCAAAACTGTAGAATCAAGAAGTATGATGTAAACAATTCATGAAGCATCTTAATTTAATGGACTCTTTAAGGAATAACCAAACATGGACAGAATTTCAATGCGGCTTTTCGTATAGTTGGTGTCTAGAGTAATTCCATTTAAAATTCATCATACATTTCTTGCCTAAAGGAACATCATTTGTATGCTAGCCTTTAACACATTACAATGGAAACTTGTACACTGAAATAGTGTTCATGAGTTATCTCAGTACATATGCTGGAAAATGTTTTGTTATTTTGAAAATATGATTTTCTAGGTATTGCCACGGCATGTGATTTTGTCTTTTACTTCCGCCGTTCAAGTAAACATGAAATGAAATCCGTTTGCGCCAGTCTGTGAAAAGCGTATTCAATTTACATCACGACATGGGGAAACAGCTACCTGTTCTGAGTCATACACCTGAGAAAGTGTTTACGTTAGAGTTATTACCTGAGAAAATAAATTCCTGATTACTAACTGTTGTAGTCAGCACAGCCGTTTCAAATGTAATTCAAACGTCCATTACAAAAGATTAGTGATCAGATCGGACTTCGATATTTTTCTAGATATTAGGGTACGCGATTCTGTAGACGATACAAACCGATACTTGTTTACAAGTGTGTTATACATAGTAATTATTTATCAATAAAGTAATATATTACAACACAGTGTGATATAAAGTGGACTTTTAGTGACGCGATGATAGATATTCATCAACAGTGATTATAATTTACAACACAATGTGATATAAACAGGAGTTTTAGGAACGCAATTACAGATATTAATCACCATAGGTTATGTTTTATAACACATTGTGATATAAACAGGACTTCAGTAACGTGAAGACAGATATTAATAAACATTTGTTATGTTTTCTAACACAACATAATATAAATAGGACTGTTAGTAATGTGAAGACAGATATTAATCAACAGTGATTATGTTTAATAACACAATGTGATATAAACAGGACTTTTAGTGACATCATGATAGATATCAATCAATAGTTATTACGCTTTATAAAACAATGTGTCCAGCACCTAGTAGATATTTATCAGAAGATCTCGATACAGTATTCAGGTGTATTACTATAAGAGTAATGACCTCTGCCTAGGTCGTCTATATTCTGACAACTTAAACTGGTGACATTCATAGCAATAGTTATCACAAGGAGCCGACACGGTAGTAACCGAGAGTGTGTACCATATACATATACAAACACAATCCTTTGAATTATTCATTAAGCTGATATTGTCTCCAAGGTGTGATATTGTAGGGGAGATATGTTCTAAAGGCCAAATATATATAATGTTACGTTTCCTTTTTATAATAATCAGCTATATACTTGTATACAATGTAATATGCATTTAATATAAAAATCAATAAAGATCGATACTGATATATTTTTTTATATATTGATAGAAGACAATTGCGTTAGGATGAGCGGACATAATCAAAAACACCATATTTAGACAAAGCCAGATAAAAGAATGGCTCGATATTATTTATATGAACATTTCAACTGCCTATAAAGACATTTAAGCGCCCATTACAGAAGATGTGTGATAAAACTCCGCCATTATCAGTGTTAACATTGATACAATAAAACTCATATCGTGATTGTAATAGTCAGTTTGGTGTCATGAAATAGATAAAACACAAACACAAAACAATGCTATCGATTAAAAGCTGGTTTTGTACCGAGGAGAGACTTGATAATACATTGTGTACATTAGCGCTGTACACAGAAAGCAATGAACACTAGAATTAAATTAGAGAGGGAAAGGAATATAGGTCAGAAAAATGGATGATATCACAGCTATATAGAGGTAAATATAGGTAAGAAAATCGCTGTAATATACAGGTCTGAAAACTGGACGATATCACTATTATATACAGGTATATAGGGTCCAGAAAGCTGGACGATATCACTGTTATATACAGGTATATAGGGCCAGAAATCTGAACGATATCACTATTGTAAACAGGTCAGAAAGCAGGACGATATCACTGTTATACACAGGTATATAGGGGCCAGTGACCTAGACGATATCACTGTTATATACAGGTATATAGGGGGTCAGAAAGCTGTACGGTATCTCTGTTATATACAGGTATATAGGGACCAGAGACCTGGACGATATCACTGTTGTAAACAGGTCAGAAAGCAGGACGATATCACTGTTATATACAGGTATATAGGGCCAGAAATCTGAACGATATCACTATTGTAAACAGGTATATAGGGGCCAGAGAGCTGGATGATATCACTGTTATATACAGGTATATAGGGGCCAGAGAGCTGGACGATATCACTGTTGTAAACAGGTCAGAAAGCAGGACGATGTCACTGTTGTATACAGGTATATAGGGGCCAGAGAGCTGGACGATATCACTGTTGTAAACAGGTATATAGGGGCCAGAGAGCTGGATGATATCACTGTTATATACAGGTATATAGGGGCCAGAGAGCTGGACGATATCACTGTTGTAAACAGGTCAGAAAGCAGGACGATGTCACTGTTGTATACAGGTATATAGGGGCCAGAGAGCTGGACGATATCACTGTTGTAAACAGGTCAGAAAGAAGGACGATGTCACTGTTATATACAGGTATATAGGGGCCAGAGAGCTGGATGATATCACTGTTATATACAGGCATATAGGGGCCAGAAAGCTGGACGATATCACTGTTGTAAACAGGTCAGAAAGCAGGACGATGTCACTGTTGTATACAGGTATATAGGGGCCAGAGAGTTGGACGATATCACTGCTATATACAGGTATATAGGGGCCAGAGACCTGGACGATATCACTGTTATATACAGGTATATAGGGGGTCAGAAAGCTGGACGATATCACTGTTATACACAGGTATTTAGGGGCCAGAAAGCTGGACGATATCACTGTTATACACAGGTATATAGGGGCCAGAAAACTGTACGATATCACTGTTATATATTGCTTTGTTTGGTGTTATTATGTATACTATTAACATCGTTCAGAAAGCCTATATATACCGTCGTTTTGTATCTTTTATAAGTAAAGTGAAAGTAGAAAGACACTGAAAAACATTTATGAAAAATCATGATAAACAAACGTATATTTCGTGTAAAACATCGCAATGATAACACACTTAATAAATATACATACAACGTACTTATACTACAGTCAGACAGCGATAGGTACACACACACACTTACCATCACGTAGTCGACGTAAAGGCGTGTGATCCGTGAGAGAGAAGCGTGGAAGGCTCCGGTCCTAAATGCTACTACGAACGTAAACAGCTAATAGTGGAAAACAACAATTCCCATTGATCAGCAGGGTTCACCACCATCCAACACAGGCAGTCGGTGACGTAATGGATCTATCCCCTCCCTTCCTGTACAGGTTGGGAAGACATTGATTTAGTCCACTTTTACATGTACACACCGTAATGTCCACACACACTATACCGTACTCTACAGTCTCGCAACAACATGTGCTACACCGATACTTCTTCCGGTTTCTTTTAATCTGAATGTATGCTATCGATAGCTGGTACGGAATGTCGGACTGTAAACAGCTCCAGTCAATATCGTTATCTCCGGCCGTTCCCCTTTATTTGCTTATCAACAATGTGGTCGATATGCTAGGCCCGTTTTTTTTAAAATAATTCAAATGTCCACGGTGTTTGTATGGGTAATATAATCACGCACCATTTTCAAGTCATACAGCATCAAAAACTGTACTCGGATAGTGTTGATAGAATGATGTTGGTGATTAACAGATGTAGGCGGACCAACATCCCTTGTACAGCATCATCTCACCAGGTCGATGTTCTCCAGCTGATCAGTATGTTAGCAAGTAAATATCTGTAGCGCGCTTGGAATTAATTCTGACAGACGTCGTATATAACACGACAAATAAAAAAAATCCAACCCATTCAACTCACCAGTCACAATACTACTTACTCTGTTTCAGTTTACAGCTGGCCTTCTGTACACTTACCTTCTATAAATAGATTTTACCGGCTTGGGGTTTTATATCAAACAAGACCAAAGCTCGTGCCTCTGTATTATATATGTAAATATTTGACAATAAATGGTTAAAGAGATGTCCTGGACACGTTTGCAATTTGTTTGATGTTTTTGTACCCTTTTTTTTATCTCATTCTTGTGACATCTTAACGTATTGTCTTCCTGAAGATCACGGGCGAAATTTGTTGAAATACCCCCTGCCAATATAGAATTAGATTGTCTAAATATAGCTCATTGGGGATCCTGAACTCATTCACTGACGGAATCATTTCTTGCGAAATATTGGGTGCTTAAAATTTCTGCTGAGATCGGTATGAAATTGCTTTGTTTGGCTTATTTCTTGTCGATTTTAAAATATACACAAACTTTTACACAGTTCTACATATAAAAAGCAAGTACCTGTTGTGATTCAATCATAGTCGAGCTGATGTTTGTACAGCTAATTACCCACCTTGAATATCGTACATACAGGTATGTTTATAGATGAATTGAGGCATACAAAGACTTGAAGAACATAGGTAGATTCTTTTGAGATAAAATCATATGAAATCGTTACGCGTACTGAATATTCCTATAATGTGACTTTTACTCGTGTGAAAGTGTGAGCAACAGTCTTCGATTTATCCAGTAGTGATGTAAACATTTATTGGCGGGTCATTAATGTCTGCCTTTGTAGCTAAGGAAGATGTGTTAATTGCCGCATTATATATCAAATTACACACCTTGATCTGGTTTGTACCGATGTTTTAGGACGTGCATGCTGTCTTTCCTACATTCGTTTTCAGTAGTGGATGTCAGCCCCTGATGACAAAAAATTCAGTAGGGTTCAAAGAAATGTAACTTGCAGGGTATTTTTTCAGTAATAAGACCACATCGTGGTTTTCTGTTCGATATTACACCAGGTGTGTTCAGTGATACTGATTAAGATGTCTAGTGATTTAGATGTAAGTTACCTGTAAGAGATTACACCAGGTGTGTTCAGTGATACTTATTGGTCATTTTATAGTGCTATCACACTGAAGCATACTAACGAATAACCTTAGCAGGACACCCAGCATACCGCTCCTGACAAGAGCGACCAACATGTAGCATTAGACAGGGAGCAGTAATTAGCATTGCATAGGCTTAATATCTCGGTTATGGGTCATAACAGGGATGAACGCTCAACTAGAGACCGAATATAAGGCAATATCAAGGGAAACAGTAAAGATGAGAAAAATAAGATAAAAAAAACAACACACACAAGTGTATAGCACCTTCCAGTTAAGAAATTCATGGAATATGTTGCTTTGGCCTCATGGGTTTATGGATGTTAAGATAAATATTCCTGATCTTGACAATATGTGTTGGTATTTTTTTTTCTAAGTCACACATGATATTTCCTGATGGAGACAGCCAAGACATGTAGAAAGACTCTTAATTAAGATACTAAAAATCGATTAAAGAAAGTATTAATAAGTTTGTATGAACGACTCAGTGATTTACACAGATTTTCAAGGAGGCTTCTCAACACGTAGTGTCTTTCGCTTCATTAACCACACCTATTTTGCTTAATCCAAGTCAGAAATGTCATCTTTCCGGATGGATGCAATGTTATTAACAAAAGGAAATTGAAAAAAAATGCCCACTATAACAACTTGAATACTTACTTAACTTTCATCAAACTACAGTTCTCGGAACCGTATACTGTTAGTCTGTCAACTGGCAACATTTTACAGGGATACAAATCATGAAAATTACTGAATGTTACATTTTTTTTATATATATTCTTACAATTTGCCGTTTTTAGATTGTATATCTATTCCAATATCATACTTCTCTGCTATCAAGGAAGTCAACATAGATTGAATATTGAAACTGACAAGAAATTCAAAGGAACATTATCTTTCCAGATGAATTAAAATAAAGAAACATAGCTCATACAACATGGTTAGGATAATACTTCAGGCGCTTTGCAGGTCACGAATTCGTCGCCATTCAGGCTATTGGATCTGTCAGCTCAATGACATGTCATAATTAAACGTCAGGAACTTAGGATTAAAAGTAAGGAACTCAACACAATCGAGAACCAAGGAGAATAATAAATAAGGATGGAAAAAAACACCATTCATGTATAGAGAATGAAATTGGAAAATTGGAAATTCTTAAAAAATAGATATCAAATTAATGTAGGAAGATAATGCATATCAGTATTTACAAAGGTTGGAGTTGAATTTGTTATCCTATTAGTAGCTAGTGACTCCCTGACTAACGTCACTGGGTAACAAATCTATTAAATCTATATCAAACCAAATTAATTGGCGAGAAGATTTTTGATACATAAATAAGAAAACACAACATACACACCAATGATATGTTGGCTGTGAAAGGGAAAGTTAGAGAAAAGAAATTCTATACTGTAACTGATATGATTTCGATGTTTCAACGTTTCTCTTCTACTAGTTATCACGTTAAATGTTTAACAAAGCTGTTGATATCGACTATTTAACAGACTCTTGATTTTTTAGATAACAAATTTTAAAATTCTCTGCGATCCAATATTATAGATTGTACAAAGGACACACAAGAAAATAGAATATTTTAATGATTTAGAGTTAGATACAGTTGAGCCAAACAATGGCGTTAACTGCATCATGCAGCTGTTCCGTCTTTCTTGGGCTCATCCGTGATGCCAAGGACATACATTGTGTAGCCTAGCGGAGGCGACTAAGGAAACTCCAAAGTGGTCAAAAGAAAAGTAAAAATCTCGACGGGGAAATACATCAAACTCCATAATTAGATAAATTTCGTTATTTTCATATATCAGATAATTTCAGAGCAAGTACATGTATATTCTGAACCGCGCCTCTGTTCGAACGAATTAACACGTGGTATGCAGGTTACGATAAACCTCGCGGATTTTGTTCTCAATATCATGATTGTCATAACAGATGTTGACAACTGAGAGGTAAACGTACCATACAGGGATTTGAGAGATGCAGGTTAATAAAGACTCGGGTACTGTTTAACAGTCACCACCATGATCTGATTGGTAAATATATTTCCTTGTGCGAAATGGAGTTAGATGTTTTCAATACACGCAAGGAGGATAAATTTTCATTAACCTTGTGCTCAATCGGGAACATGAAGTTACTTGACGAGATATGCGGGTTAAAGAAGATAATTTGGGAGTACATATAACCTTAATCTTGTTATCTCTCGGGAAACCTGATATAACTTTACTTGGACCTGAAAGGTGGTGCCGTTATTGGCATAGAAAACGCCTCCCCTTCCGGAACACCTGGTCTTATTCTCATTGTATTAGATCCAATCGCTGTGTCTAAATCTTTTTGACGTTTTTGATGCGAAACCAAGATGCATGGTGATCATGATGATTTTAATTTCTGTATGGTACATGTTTCCAATGTAAATAGTGCCCAAGTCAATTGTGTTTACGTGTCATATCTAATTCAATAACCAAGGGCTTGATCCAAACATCACGATTTCTGTGCAACATTTCGACAGCTGTTTGTCTTCGGGAACACTTAGTCTTATTATCATTGTGCATCTTAAGAGATCTGTTTCTTTCGTTCACATTTTGCTCTAGTTTCATAGATGTTTTTAGATAACGTAAACATGTTAAACTCGATAGCCTAAATATGTTTTTATAGAACACAGAATAGAATATATTACCCTCTCTCCATGTGGTACAGGTAATATATTAGATCTTGTTTGTATATTAGAAAATACAATATACCTTCGATATATACATAGTACACAGGAGAGGTTAGACCCTATTAATTACATAAGAAAATCTCAGCTTTTTTCATGTATATAACACACAGAATACGCTAGATCCCGTATTTCGAATATCAATTGACATATAGCCTCTCAATATATGTATTGTATGATTTTCGTGTATACAATAAAAAAACATGGTAGATACTGTATGTGTATTGAGTACACAGTACATTTTGGACCTAATAATTCCTATTAAAACACACTATATAAATGCCCTGCATATACATCTGATATCCCTTCTACATGTATGTTTGTATATATATATATGTATATGTATGTATGTTTAAGTGTGTGTTGCTATAAAACACATTACGCACAGGTCTCGTGCTGTTACTTGAAACACGCCATGTACTCTATATATACAACGCACGCAGAACACGTGGAAATATCTCAATAGACACTGTTGATTCCCGTGAGCTAAGCTACAGTATGGGGAACTGTTCACACAATTTTGCATGTCGCCTGAGATCTCATTTGTACATTGCTTTCTTGTTTCCTTTTTAGTTTAAACATATTTATTGCCAAAAGATAGACAATAGATTAGGCACAAGTCATTCCATCTTATCAACGTCTTCTCCATTACATTACAGACAATACAAATATACAGTTA